CACCCTGTATAGTGTTTATACTATGTATAACAACATTCCTGCATTCCTGGAATTTTGGAATAATTAAGAAAATAAGTTACTTTATATAGATTTCCTTGAGACATTTGTACAAGTAATTCAAAAAAGGTGAGTGCATTGTTAAACCAGAAGCGTAGACTTACAATATTTTACACGTTTTAAAGAAGATTTCTCCAGAAAATTTTAAGAAATCAAATTTTCGGACGGGATTAAGAAGTAAAATGTCATTACTCATTTACCATGTTCCTGTTAAGCTTAAAACGTTTGCGAAATTTTTATGGAGTAGGTTTTATTATTTTTTTACATTTATATGTTTAATGCAAACATTGGACGGATTAATAAGCCACAAAAATAGGTGCATTTTATTTTATTATGATTTAAATAGAATTTACCTAGCAAAATTTTGAGATGACGTCATCAAATTTTTGGGGGGCTAAACAGATAAAATTTGGTTACCCGTTTACCGTGTGTATGATTAAATAACATTTGCAATTCAAGGAGTCGACTTTTGGATTTTTAATTTAATAAAAAATGAAATGGATGTTATTTTGTAATGTTTAAATTGAAGTCATACTCCTAAAATAATTCTAAAATTTCACCTGTGTGAAAAATTCGTCAACACACGGCAGATAAATCGATTTTTTTCATATTTTATCGGTTATAAAAGTTCGAGAAAACTCGAAAGTACCCATCTCCAAATGAACCTTATTACAATACATTTATAGCTTGCGTTCGGGATGTACTTAAATTGTGATTGCGAGAAAGAATATGCTAAAATCTTTGAAAAAAGGAGATTATTTCAAAATTACCACTGTTTACTGTAGTAGTAGAAACTTGTCTCAGCACATAAATTTAGAACTTATTTGGCATGGGAAAATATTAGCATAAAACGCCAAAAGCGAACTTTTAAGTAAGATTTATCTAATTTTTATACTGCAGGTGATCTCACCCTACATCTAGAGTGAATTCATTTGACATACCATCAGTCAAATCTTAATAATAATAACAGTATTTATTTTCAACTGGGTAATACAAATGATCACGAAAACCCTATTTGTAAATTCAAAACCTGATATAAAATATAAACTTTTATTTGAAAGTACGCACCATTTTTTTAGTGTTAATAAAACGCAAACATTTATTTAGTGGTCACATCGTAGAACATCCACTCAATTGTGCTTATTCATATCCTCCAGATAATGAATGACGTCATCCTAAAAAATTACTGAACAAATATTTATGGAAAAAATACGCCTTATATTTGCGAAAATAATTTTTCCGAGAAATCAATACTTTCGACGTATCATATTTGCAAACTCGATTCTTTCGACTGTCACAATCTGCGACATTTTAATATAGACGCTCCTCCTTATACAGCAGCTAGACAAAGCCCCACGATTTATGTCGTGTTAAAACCACCTTTTCTTTTCCTGAAGGTGAAAAATTGCTAGCTCAAGAGAACTTTTCGACTGTACGAAATTGGAGTCCTCATGGGCGGGTCTCAGATGCACGCCCGATAACGAGTTTTATTATCATTGTTATTATTGTTATTGTTGGCTGCTTCTGCATTGTGGCGACTCGACAATAAAATAGGCTGTCTATTGTTGCATCTGTCACTTGAGGACCTCCACGAGGACTCCTACGCCCAAATTATACAAATATTAAACTGTGATACCCTCCATGTTCACTGTTATTTCAGTATTTATTTTTGTTTTGGACCCGGTGTGGGCTTTCTTGCCAGGATCACCTAAAAACAATCAGGATCAATAACACGACGCACACCCCCGCTCCATAAAATTCGAAACTCGTGTTGTAGGTGGCTCTTCATCTTTATGGCGATCGCTGTTTGCTAATAACGGTGAGTTCGTTTATAAGGTATTAATGTGCTTGCAAATTTTCGGAAAGGTGAGAAAGGTGCATCGTTGCAAAATGTAGAAAGTCTCGTGTAGGCTTCGACTGCGATTTCCGCAAGTAAAGTTGAGTTAAAATTTGAAATTTGGCAAGACCCTAAGTCCTCGTTTGTTATGTAACTTAACTATCTTCACTTACCAGTTTTTCACTAAAAATAAAACTCATTTAGGTTGAGGAAGTTTCATTTACTAGCGCTTAAATTAATTACTCACTAGAGGATGAAGCTGAAGAAATATTAGTGTTAAAAATATTTTTCAGCAGAAATATGTATGTTGTCCGGGTAATTCACGACGTCTTCCGCAAATTCCCTGCGTATTTTGTATAGTTTAGTACTGTTTGCAGTATCAGCCTGGCGGCAATTAAAAAACGCGAGAACCGCGTTAGTTATGTCTACAATTTAAAGAACACGCGAAATAAATAAACTTTGAATCGTAGATACTTCAAAGTTCGCAAAGCTGTTTGAGAATGTAACGGAAGACGTAGTCCAGAACATAATGTATGTAATCCACAGCATCGGATTTATTGTGTTGCCGTAACGTATAAGTGATGTAACGCAACGTAATAAAAAGAGCTTTCGTTATTTATAGCGAGGAGGAAAAATTAGCATGTTTTTATTTGGAAAATATCGAATTATTTGAGCGCTTGTATTAATCCTTTTAGTGGGAAGGCAGTTTTAAAAGCGCCTGACTCTAGTTAATAAAGAATGGCACGTAGGAAGTATTTAATTATCGTGTTTTTGTTAAAAAGTTAAAACGCGAAATTTATGAAATCGACAAACAGAATTGATTGAGTTGTAAACAAAGTACAATGCGAACTGTGTCGTGAGTAAATTTCTTTAATTACTCAGCGCATTAACCGGTCTGTGTTAAAAAATTTGTAATAAGTTGGCAATAAAAGACGCCCAATATAATATTGGCAAGATGTATTGTTGTTTTTGTATAGTGGGAGTAGTAGGAGGAGTGTGTGGGCTTCCACATCGTCGTGAATGCATTAGTTTGCATGTAGCATTAAAGAAACGAAACTTCCCAATAAAATTATTTATACTTCTAATTTATTTGAGTTAAATTGCATCATTACACCGCATATAAATCCGAGTGCGTACAAACAGGTCGTCCGTAAAATACCACCTTGGTGCGTTGGTATAACGTTGTTTTCCCAGCAGAAGGATTATTTTCGAATCATTTCTACGTTAAGGATTAGTCCACAATTGAGCTATCCGGACTTATAGAGTCATCACTCAGAATAATAATTTCGAAACGCGATACTTCGGTTTATTGGGGAAAAAGACGCAATCGAACATTCAAATCTAATACTAAATCTAACGACCGTAAATAATGATTAGTATTGACGGGACAGCACCATAAAATGTCCTACAAACTAAATATTTGTCGCCTCGAACGTTCCTATTGTTTAACAAGCCTCCAACAAAGGTCTTAACCAAAAAGCCACGAAATTCGACTCCCCAAGTTGACACAGTGAGACCTTTTGTGAATAAACACGTAGGTGATTTTTATTAACCCCAATAAATTTCGTTTTGTCACTCGGGAGTATAACCGTCCAGCGAAATTTCTCAGAGTCGTGAGGCCGTAAATTGCCAAGACTCATGTTCAACACTTAATTTAGATAAGACGCAGCCATTAAAAATCGGTCATTATCAGCGACGTTTCTCGTTTGACGACATAATCACAACATGATAAATCCGAGACTTAGGTGAAATTGCCAGCACTTATTGCAGCGACTTATAAACAAGATGGAGCGATAAGGAGCGTGTAATAACATTATTTTTGCATTATACACGGGGTGGCGCGCGCAACAAGTTGACATTTCGGTGAAAGCTGCGATAAATCCGAATAAGGTGCCATAATTATTTTTTATTACGAAAGCGCGAACCCTGAAAATCAGCGCTGTTATCAACGTTTCGCAAAAAACGCATTATTTATGACAATAATTATTATGAAAGTGAAACTTGTTCAACTATAAATTGTCCGGTATTTTTATAAAAGAGCAAACGCACGGACGACGATAAATAAAGTTGTGTATTAAATGACTGAAAATAAATCGTTAGTCGTAATGATTGGAAATATTGTGTGGCGTTTTAGCGCTAATAATGAGAAAATAAATTTCCGGTAAAATATTGTCGGCGTATTTGTCACTTGGGTTATTTATCTATCACAGGAACCGGAAAGTTCGCGACAACTCTATCGGAATCCAGCTATGAATAATAAATTGTAAAAATTATTAACAATCGGACTAAAATGGTATCGTTCGTAGGTGGCCAACAAATCTCGATGGCAAAAACGAGTAGAATAAATTCAAGTTGTTATGTCGGTACGTGCGGTTGTGGAATTTTCATCGTTCCTCTAGGGTTCTTTGTGCAATAATTGCTCATAATTTAATAACACGTTTTCATTTAGTTGTAAACGTTAGGAGTGTTTTTTTAAGAATGAAATAATTAGCACATGTTTACCCACACTCGGCGCGAGTTTGTAATTATTAAAACGCCGATGCAGTTCCAGTTCGCCTTTTCAGGCGACAGGTGTCGCTGCCAGTATTTGTCGGCTTAGTTTCACCGACACAAATTAATTCCGATGAATTATTATTATTACTAATATTATATTCTAAACACGATCCGTAACGTAATTATTGATGTATGCTCATTTCTGCTTTGAATTTTCAACAAACGATTTGTAAACTGGATTGTGATTTTTTCGACGGGTTTGTAAATAAGTCGACGTCTGGTAGGAAAATCTTAAATTTTTACTTACCTCGAGGATACGCATGTTTCTCTTCTGTAATTAAGATCGGTACAAGATTATCGCAAGAGCACGGCTACTTTAGCCATTAATACTTGACACATTTTTAGGTGCAATTAATTCAATAATTCCAGGTCCTGGGCCAGTTCCAATGAACCCGCAGTGGTTCCACACGGCCTATCCGGTACCATCTCCGCAAGCTTCTTTTTGTCCGGTCGCACTTTAAAGACCGCGTATCGAATTTCTGGTTTTCTTTGAAACGACTCGTCACAGAACCTTAAGCAAGCGATTTATTTCAACGTATTTATTCAATATAATATAAAAACATTCGAAACATGGCATACAATAATAAATCATATAGAAAATAATCTCTATAGGTAACAATACATTTAATATACACAGACTTACGTACTATGAGGCAAGACGTTTCAGTTCGTTTTATTTACAAATTATCAAGCTCACGCCTCGTGCTTGATCGCTACGTCAGCGAAAAAGAACTCGTTGAAGTCGGGCTCCAGCGTGTGATCCGAGAAATCCGTGTGCAGCAGCGCCGGAAGACACGGATCCCCGAAGTCCACCGGACTCAGCGAGGACTCCGGGAAGTCCGGCGACGCCAGCAGCGAGTGATCCGACAGCTGCAGCGACTCGCCGTCGGACTCCAACAGCAAACAGTCCAAATCACCGTAATCCGACGACGTTTCCGGAGTCGAGGACGTACTGGCTTCCGGATTGTTCAAAGCTGCACTTAACGCCGAGATATATTTCATAGCGAGCCGCAACGTCGTGATCTTAGTCAGTTTCTCGTTGGTTCCCGGCACTTGGGGGACTTGCATGTGGGGGATGACCCGGCGCAGGGTCTCGAAGGCCTGGTTGATCTCCCTCATGCGGTTCCGCTCCCTGGCGTTGGCCGTCTTGCGGCGGTACTTGCTGAGGGGCGCCGGCTTCTGCTTCTGCTTGTGGGGTTTGTGCTTGCTCTCGGCCTTCGGGTCCTCGCCGCCCTGCTCCGCCGCCCTGCGCAGCGAGCGCGGCCGCAGCGAGTACTTATCCTTGAGGGGCACCGCGCGGTACTCGTCGTTGGTGTTGTTGTTGGGGTCCGTGTACGACGGGTCCGACAGGCGATCGGTTAAGCCGTCGAACTGCAGGAGCGAATCCATGCTGGCACTACGCGCACTAACCGAACTGCAGTTTGTTCCTGATGGAGGGTACCACCGTTCTCCGGGGCATCTCGCTTCGGGTTCGTCGTCTGTGGCCCGTTGGGGTCTCGCGTCGAGCGGCGCGTTTGTGCGTGGGACGCCTGCTGATGCGGACTGTGGGACTTCGGCTTGGTCACTGGTTCTTGTCGGAGTCTGTGGTCCCAAGTACTGGCGGCTTCCCCACCTGAACACGCGAGATCGCCCGCATTACAATGCATGCGTCAGGCGCAGAGAAATGATGAATTGGAAGATCATTGTGAAGGAGGAATAAATGATGATAAAGATCTTAGCGTAAATGATTAAGAGCTTGGATTATTGTGAAATGCTTTAGACGTATCATTAGCACTTTGGCGACGCAGGAATTCCACGAAGCGAGCTCAATAGCCGGCGATTTGTATCGTTTAATTTTGGTGACGATGCGCTTTCGTGAAAGCGTGCCGGAGTGTCGAAAAGTGTCGCCAGTGGAGATGCCAAAATTTTAAGCACCTCTTGGTTCCTAAAACAACCAATATTAAAAGCTGTAATATAATCTATTTCGTTTCAGTTTTATGATGTCAGTGAGCTTCCGTTTCTATGCAGGGTGCTATTAACCAATAGCACCAATTAACTTAAATAAGTATGATAAACATAACACGTGGGTAATAAATGATTCTACTTAAGGAAAATATAACTTAAAAGTCAAAGATTGCTACTGCAATTACTAATATAGGTGCAATCGATTATAGCAACATCAGGTTAAGAACTTGTTCCGAGTTTTTAAAGCAATTGACAGTGTGCCTACGCATTTAAAAAAGGTTTCCACAGTCTGGCTTATCACAGAATAATATGTAAATCAGTGATAAAATCTGTGAGTATAAAAGTAAAATCTACTAGACCTCTTATATTTGTTTTTATGGGGCAATATATCATGAATATTTTTTAGTACACTGAATCCATGTATTTTTCCTTAATTTTGGCCTCAGTTCAACTTTTGAGAAATATTTCCTTCAAATTTGTCTTTATCACTAAAATTATTATCTTCGTAGTGAATCAGCTTTGTTACGTCAAGGTGTACCTACTAAAAGTAAACACAAGTGGACGTTCGACTAAAGACCATAGCGAATCATAGAATCCCAGCTAGGTATCTAAAGACAATTATTTTTCAAATAGGATGTAGAAGACACACATCTAACTGAAGAACGTAGAAATAGAAAATAGGTTTTGGTATAAACATGGCAGAAAAAAATTTTGTTAAATGCACGTATTTGGCTTATATGTCAGAAATTTAATTGTGCCCTATTTGAGATTGTTGAAATGACGAACTGTCAACGAAAAAATTTTACTAAAATATTTTTATTTCTGTAGGACAATGTTAATAAATGTGGTGGGTTTCGTCTTGATGTTTCCTCTTGATTCTGCGTGAAGGCTGGACTTATTTTTCGGCTTTGGTTAATCGAGTTTGCTTCTTCTTTTCCGAAAATTCTTGCTATTTGCTCTTTTTATTGAGTTGATCTATGGTAATTTATTGAAGTACTAAAGATGAGGCAGTACTGATAGTCATTTGAAATGCGTATTTAGTACAAGGTTAAACACCACAGGACCGCAGTGTTACGGTTTGATATTTGTAAACTTGGAAATGGTAATGAAGTGCGGCCTTACAGACCTAGCGGGAGACTTGAAGGGTAGTACCAGATAAAGAAACAGGCACCACTGAACCGTAAATTCACGACCTAAGATTTTCGACTTGGAAATTATATCTTTGAAGTAGAGAGATGCGATTGAAATACACTTTCGTAGTACGAATTATGGATTTTACATGTTGTCATTGTCTATGTCACTGGTATCCAAATAAAAGCTCATACCAGTAAGTAATAAGACAGTAAAGACTAAATATGCTCCCACACATTTAAAAGAAAATATCGTCATGACCAACTAGAGCAGAAATTTAAAAATTCACGTGATACATGCCACTGGCACTGTAAGAAACACATATCAAAGGAACTTTTTATCGCCTGCCATGTGGTTGACGCAGTGAATAATTTTAACGTTTTTACTTACCCACCGTAAGCTAAGAAAATATTGTAATTGAGTCCATCGGACGACTGACTACTTTCATATTTTCTCGACGTGTCATAATATCAAGAGTAGAAAAAAGTGTGTCTCCCGTTTCCGTCTGTCCGTCTGCCTGCCGTCTGTCCCGAATTTTTATTGACCTCGTAATATTCGAAACTACCGCACTGATTGTTGTGAAATTTTATGTATACGTTAGGAATATCATGTAGATGATAAAACACTAACCAAACTTTGCCTAATCATCCCTAGCACTATTGCGATGACATCCCCTCAAAATTTTCCATAGTAAGCAGGATTTAAATTTTATAAAATAACGGACTTCTGGACTTGTTCTTTATGAATGAAATATTTGCAAAATTTTCAAGAAAAATTTTAATTTGCGTCAACTAGCATGGATAATTTTATGCTTTTTCGACGTTTCATTACACCTAGAACACGAAAAGATAGGTAGTCCATTTGCGTTTAGCTGTGATCTATCGTTTGGTGTCAAAAATATGAGTTGAAAATGCAGCGATTAAAGACAAAGTTTCAAAAATTGATAGCTGTCTGTGATCCTGTTTTTATTGCTCTATCAGACAAATAATATCCAAAACTGTTGCACAGATAGTTATGAAAGTTTATTTTTTTTAAGTTAAAATTTATTTCTTCGTTCTTACCAAAAATCCGATGACGTCATTTCAAAATTTTTGTAATTAAATCCTTTTTAAATATGTAAAATGTGAGTTTAATTTAAAAAAATCAAAATTGTGTAATGGCTTTCAAATTGCAAAACCGAATGCTGTGGAATCTAACAAATATTTTAGGGTTATCTAAAGCATGTCTTTATTCAAAAGTTGTCTCTCTCTCAAAAAAATTATGACGTCATTTTACAATTTTGCCGAATAAATGTTCTTCAAATTTATGAGTGTTCACACTAAACATCCAGTGTTTTGGGAAAAAACGCGTGTGCTTAACTAATTAATTAGTCCTCTCCCCTGTGTTGTTTAAAAGAAGACACTAAGGGCTCCCGAGATTCTTTGTCAGTAAAAAACTACACTATGGATCCCTGAAATTTTTTGGTAATGTCAAAAAAAAAACACTAGCCCCCCCCCTCCCGTTTCTTTAGCAAAAAAAAAACACATTAGGGACCCAGAGTTTTTTTTGCCATTTAAAAAAATAAACTAGGAAGCTTCGAAATTTTTTAGAATTCTTAAAATAAAAACCCTAGGAGGGCTTAGAGATTTTTTGGTATTAAAAAAAACACTAAGGAATCCGCGATTTTTTACCATTAAAAAAATATCACACCAGGGGCACCCGAGATTCTTTGGCATTAAAAAACAGACTAGAGGGTCCCGAAATTTTTATCCATTGGCTTTTTTTTGTACCTAAAATAATAACTAAAAAAACTAGAATTTATTTAACATCGTTTCTAGAAAAGTGATGACATCATCCTAAAAAATTACTATAAACACTTTAAGAAATATGACTTGGGTTGCAATATTGCTTGTATCTTAGTAAACATAATTTAAATTTCATTCAGAAACGTTTATATTTTCAGATCTCTTAAAGTAAATTTTTCCATTAAAGTCTGTTATTTTTAACAAAAATAATAAAATTTTTAATTAATATAATTTTTAAAAGTCTAATTTTTTGCTTTTTAGTTTTTTCAATTGATTTTCACTTGTATGGAACTGTATTTGCGTATTTGGTGCAAACTACTTTTTTGATATTAAAACTGCTGATGGAGCTAATTTATTTTAAAAGTTGGATCATTTAAATGCATTATCTGGCTTATCATAAAAGCTTTATGATATGAATGAAGGTTGAAACCTGTTCAAACTCATGTTAATTAATCACTTCGTTTAAATAAACCAATTACTAAAGGACCTTTAGCGTTTATTACGAAAGAATATCTGATAGATATTTTGAATTGATAGGATAAAAAATAATAAAAAAATACGTAAAGTGTAGACAACATATAGAAGAAATAAATAAATTTATGAGCGTTTACATTAGATATACAGTTTTTTGGGAAAAACACGAGTGTGTTTAACTAATTATTCCTCTCCTTTGTGTTCAGGAGTCAAAATCAATCAAATTTCAGTTTTTTTGAACACAACTTCATACTCTGATGCCGAGGCTGATACATTATGAACGTGGTAATCGTCGAATTCTTTCGAAGTATAAACATAAACAGTCGAAGTTAAACAAATACCAGAAATTAAGAACACATTGTTTCCGCTGGTTATCTGCTTTAAATATATTTCATATTGTCCGTACTCGTGTGGACTTTGGAATTTGCGCCCTCGCGGCTCAGGGGCTGGCAATTTTAGTTTTGAAAGAATTTCGCGAAATGCGTTTCGTTAATTAAAAACGGTTTAGTAGTGGATGCCATCGAAATTTTATTTAATTTTTTTTTCCGAAATGGGACACTGGATGATGAGGCTTTTTCAGTTGTATGGAACCTGTTTAAACTCGTTATAACTCTTGTTTTTGACTATAGTTTTGTTTTTGTATTTTCATTTTGACTCTTAGAAGTGGTGTCTAAAGCTCCAATATTTGCCAAATTAACCGTTGGCTGCGTTTAAGAATCCATCTTGTCACTAAATTTTGTCTGCGAATTTAACACTCGGTACTTATATTTTAATATGTAATAACGCTGTTTCGTGATCGTTTTATTTACGATGGTTTATTTTAACAAACTGGTTTAGAGTAAAGTGGAACGTCTTCATATTCATATTCTTCATGTAAGTGGCCCTAATTTCCGTTTTATAACACAGAAGTCAAAACATCAATATGAAATCTAAAATATGATCTTGTAAAGTTAAGGTTTTGTATGTTTCTTTTCCAACAGTTGAAATAATTTGCAAAAACGATGTTGTCGTCCGTACAAACCTACTACCGCAATTACTTAGAATTTCTGTGTGTTTTTAATGAATATTACGAGCATGTTGGTCGCTAGGACACGCACGTTAAGGGTTGCCACCATCCAGATGATTTAATAGCACTTCATCACGTCCCCGTGACAGGCGTTATGCCGCGATTTGCTTACCTCTAACTTTATTATAACTAACTTAGTAACTTTAGAGGTTTTAA